TAGTCCCTTAACCGGTGATCCGATGTGATGATTTTCTGAAGTTTTTTGTGGATACTTTAAAATTCAAATAAGACTTGGCAGATACATGATCAACCAGGCTGTGACTCATACGTCAGGCTGCGAGCAGCCGCGTCCAACAGCCTGGTTGATCAGTCCAGCAACCAGGAGGCCTGGTCGACGACCGGGCCGCGGGGACGCTAAGCCCCGGAAGCACCTCAAGGTAACCTCAAGGTAGGTACATGATGCTTGGTCACTTTCAGAATGCTGGAGAAGCTCCACGTTTCACTTTCAAACTAGATTGTCAAAATATAATTCGGTCAATGAATCAATATAAAGATTTTTCAGGTATTATTCCAGCTTCCTATAGAACTGGAATTGGTATTTAGAAGCACATTATGAAAACAGAGAACTTTCCCGCGCTGACTGCTGCTGCTGCTGCTGCTCGGAAGTTTGTGTGGACCATCAGTGTTCTCATCCATTATTAAACACAATACCCTCAAGCACAGAGGCACTGATAGAGATTTATGCACAATTTTGTGATTCCAAAAGTGGTGGATATACACCAACTATATTAATGTCTAGTAGAGGTCGATTGGGGGGGGGGGGAGGTCGAATTTTTTTAAATCATGATTATGAAAATTTGTATTCTCTCATATGATGGAAAACTATGACCTAATGATTAATGATATGAATATTATTGTTCTTGGTGACTTAAAGACCTAAATTATCAAGCATTGAGAGTTATATTATTGCTCATATTTAAAGTTACTTTATTTTCTTCTACTATTGTTCTACATTTATGAAATTTTGTCAATTTTAAATATTATTTATTACAATTATTTACTGAATGTGATGGGGTATATGATATCAAATTATTACTTTAAATCACGTTTGTACAATCAATGTTTAGTACCAGTTCGTTATTAATTGGGAACATTTTCAAATAAAGCGAGTATAGTGTGAACAATGGTTACAGCGTGTCTGCTTAACGTTGCCATGGCAACACCGGTGCTTTCGTAGCTTATTCCACAAATGTATACGGCTTGTTTATTGTTATAAATATATATATACCGTCGCATATACTCAAGGAACCATTCCCTGAAGTGAGTTTTATGAGAGAATTTACATTTTAGAATTGAACACCGTCAGTTTAGGGATCCTAACATGGACACATCATCTTGAGGTTATCTTGAGGTTATCTTGAGGTTATCTTGAGATGATTTCGGGGCTTTTTAGTGTCCCCGCGGCCCGGTCCTCGACCAGGCCTCCACCCAGGAAGCAGCCCGTGACAGCTGACTAACACCCAGGTACCTATTATACTGCTAGGTAACAGGGGCATAGGGTGAAAGAAACTCTGCCCATTGTTTCTCGCCGGCGCCTGGGATCGAACCCAGGACCACAGGATCACAAGTCCAGCGTGCTGTCCGCTCGGCCGACCGGCTCCCGGCGATCATGAGCCCTTGTGATGCATGAAACATTCTCAGACAACCTTACTAGGATGCTATTGTGAGTGTCCGATGGTTGCTTTGATGCCACATACTTGTCATCATCCACGCAAGAACTTCCAGTGGAGTTTATCCATTGGAACTAGCGCAGTAAATTTGGTGTGTGAAGGTTTTATTTATATATATGCCAGCAGGCCGCCTCCCACTGCCAGACCAAAAAATGGTATGGCCGCTTGACGTCAGAGCACAGAATCTATCGTTATTGGAATGAGATCAGAAAGAATTCATGGCCAGATTACCCTCAGCGGTAGCCTCGACTTTCTCTCTCGTGTCACAGGTTCAGGTCGACCGTACCAAGATGCCAGTCAGCTGGAACAGCAACCCGTCGCCACAGAACCTCAAGAACCACACACATCCCTGTGTGTTTGTGTCACACAGTCGTTTATATATATATGTAAACAACAGAGGTCCCAAGACGCAGCCCTGGGCCACGGGGAGCATGTGTCATGAGCCTCGCCAACAGGGGAGCACGTGTCATGAGCCTCCCCAACAGGGGAGCACGTGTCATGAGCCTCGCCAACAGGGGAGCACGTGTCATGAGCCTCCCCAACAGGGGAGCACGTGTCATGAACCTCCCCAACAGGGGAGCACGTGTCATGAACCTCCCCAACAGGGGAGCACGTGTCATGAACCTCACCAACAGGGGAGCACGTGTCATGAACCTCACCAACAGGGGAGCACGTGTCATGAACCTCACCAACAGGGGAGCACGTGTCATGAACCTCACCAACAGGGGAGCACGTGTCATGAACCTCACCAACAGGGGAGCACGTGTCATGAACCTCACCAACAGGGGAGCACGTGTCATGAACCTCACCAACAGGGGAGCACGTGTCATGAACCTCACCAACAGGGGAGCACGTGTCATGAACCTCCCCAACAGGGGAGCACGTGTCATGAGCCTCGCCAACAGGGGAGCACGTGTCATGAGCCTCGCCAACAGGGGAGCACGTGCCATGAACCTCCCCAACAGGGGAGCACGTGTCATGAACCTCACCAACAGGGGAGCACGTGTCATGAACCTCACCAACAGGGGAGCACGTGTCATGAACCTCACCAACAGGGGAGCACGTGTCATGAACCTCACCAACAGGGGAGCACGTGTCATGAACCTCACCAACAGGGGAGCACGTGTCATGAACCTCACCAACAGGGGAGCACGTGTCATGAACCTCACCAACAGGGGAGCACGTGTCATGAACCTCACCAACAGGGGAGCACGTGTCATGAACCTCACCAACAACGGAACAACAAGATTTTCAGACACAAATATTGACTGGCGCCCGGCTGGGAGCAGGAGGCGTCGCCCTCTGGTCTCTTACCCTACCTCCCATGTGCCTTTAATACAAAAATGGATTTTTTCCCTATTATCTGCGGTTTGCTGACATTAAGGGATTGCGTTACAAGCAATTTAATATCTGTATTAAGGGGGGCGAGAGGGAGGGAGCCAGTGGTAATGTTTGTGTTAGTCGATGAGAAGATATTTTTTGCCAATCCCGTATTAATAATGAGAGTCAATGCAACTACAGTATACCCGGATACAGCAGCTAACTCAGTGCTATTAACAAAAAACCAGTGACATGTGTGAAAGTGATGAGGTTTCGGTCCGTCCTGGAACGTAATCAGGTTACAGTAATGATCTTTGTCTACTGTTACAGTGTTAGGCTTGCGGGACCAGGCCAGATGTAGCTAAACTCAATTAGTTACATTCCTTACACCCAAAACCTACTCTTGATTAATTGTGTTTGGGGGTGTTTAGTCATAATTCACACATAACTACAATAGAAACTATTAGTTGTTATATATTTAAACGTTTTTCGGAGCCCTAAATATTTATGATATAAATAAATATCTATATCACACCCCTGTTGGTATAAAGGAAGTGTATTGGGGCTAATTCGTAAGGAAGCAGCAAGAGTTTGCATCAAATAATAATAATAATAATTTATTTAGGAACAGTACATACATCGCTGCAGCGTTACGGTACAAACATTCTGTTAGATTTAAAGACAGAGGTAGTACATACAATACTTAAAGCCACTAGTACGCATAGCGTTTCGGGCAAGTTTATTCAACTCTTTAAAACAAAAAATATAAATGTAAGGTTCGTATTTTACTACCTATGTTTAATTACGTTAAGGCAAAAACATTGTTATCTCAGTGACAACAGGGGCAAATTGATCTAAATTACGGAGTACGCTCGTGAATTGCCCTGTGACTCTCACCAGATGACTCTGCGTCACGTCACCATGGGAGGAAGTGCCCATGTACCCCCATCACAATACCTTCGCTTGCTTTTATATTCACTTTAATATAAATCATGTCTAGTGGAAACATTTATATTTTACTATTATTCATCTTTAATTTAGAGAAATTGTGGACTGACGACTTTTTACTTAGCGAGGAGAATTTTTTAAACGGGTTATTAAGTCGTATGCGCTTATTAAATAGCAAAAGATGTATAATATATATTGGACAATTATTCAGACGAGTCTAATTAATATCACAATAAATTTTAAACAAATAAATCAACCCTTGTTTGAGAGATGCCAGCAGGCCGCCCCCACCACGCATTTTTTTTTATTATGAAGCTTAGGTAAACACAGCTGTCAATGTGCTACTATCCTATGCTGTATGAAGGATTACAGTCATACTTGCTCCTCCATGCATGGCTGCAGTGTATATACAATACATATTTACGGAAAACTGTATGTTTAACGTATATACATGTTTTTGTATGATTCCTCTTAATTACAACATTGCAACTCTTTGCTGTGCAGTGCTATAAGGTCAGCAGGTCTTAGCTAGTCATGAGTATTTGATAGAAATTCACATAAAGAAGACAAGAATTTGTTGGATTCTTCTAGAAGTATAAAGCAACAATTGCAAGCTTCTTCTATAACAACACTTAGCCGGCTACAGTAGGAATGATTTGAGGCGCTCACTTTAAACACTTCTTGAAAATACTGAATTTGGCGTAAGTCAAAGTTGATAATACAATGTAAAACTGAAAAAAAGATCAAGTTTAAAACTTGCGTTTGCATGATGCAGGTCAGTGATGGAGCCTGAGCAGCATCTGACGTCACCAGGCCATTCGTCAAGTTCTGTTCATCCATCACCTTCCTCACCTCCTTTACATAAAAGTTTATAAATACATCACTTTTTCCTTATAGATATGTGCAATACAGAAGAACCAAGCTTATTTATATATGTCTGGCATCCAATATGGGCGTGTTCTCATTGATTGCGCCAAAATCGATACAACATAGCTGGCAACTGCATGATGAAGAATCACACCAAACAACATCTCTTCCCACAAGCTAGTATTATCCCCGACAACAAAAAAAGGCTTCGAATAATAACAAACTAAGATTTAATAAACTCTCCCTTCCTGCAATTTACAACCAACACAGTAATTAAGTCTTAATTGAAGTATGAAGCAGGTTGGCAGGCTTGAGAGAGGCGCGTGCGCGGACTGGCCAGGGTAGGTTATAACCCCGAGCGGCAGCCATCACCGACTCATTCAAACCCGAGAACCTTACAGTGATAGTCTAGTATTACTCCACCATGAGAGAAATTGTGCACATTCAAGCCGGGCAGTGCGGCAACCAGATCGGAGCCAAAGTAAGTGTGTGTGTGTGGCTGTATATATCTTTTGTGGTGTGTGGCGGACCTTGATGGTGACAGACTAGGCTACTGTTCTACACCATTTGAACCTGTAGTATACACACGGAATTTACAGTGATAGTAGTGTTTACACCACGCTAGCGGGGATGTAACTAGTATTACGTTATTGCATCAGAAATAATGCCGGGGGAATGTTGCTTAAACTGTCATTTTAAACTATACAGAATAGCACATTTATAGTTTAGCTCCAGCTTAGGAGTCCGGCTGTCATAGGCGCCCATACATCTGCCGTGAGCTCACTGTAGCCTGCGGGATACAGTTGTCCCTGTAAGATCTGACGTCATTCAACTGTATCGTGCTCCTCGTGTGAGGGGCACGAGGCTGGGAGATACCGGTGGGGGGCACGAAGCTGGGAGCTGGGAGATACCGGTGAGGGGGCACGAAGCTAAGAGCTGGGAGATACCGGTGAGGGGCACGAAGCTAAGAGCTGGGAGATACCGGTGAGGGGCACGAAGCTGAGAGCTGGGAGATACCGGTGAGGGGGCACGAGGCTGAGAGATACCGGTGAGGGGCACGAGGCTGAGAGCTGGGAGATACCGGTGAGGGGCACGAGGCTGAGAGCTGGGAGATACCGGTGAGGGGCACGAGGCTGGGAGCTGGGAGATACCGGTAAGGGGCACGAGGCTGAGAGCTAACTGTCCGACCTCGCCAAGAACATCCACGTTGAGCCTCGCATACACTGACATGATTTCACATTAGGTCAACACTGTCGATATTGAACAATCTTTAATACGATGTGTTTCGGCTGCTTCAACATTATCAAAGTAGGTTATTGATGTAGTACAATAATTATTGTCAACTATATATCTCCTACGTCGACTATGGTTCTCCTACGTCGACTCTCGCTAAGAAAACGACTTAAACCCATAGACACAGAAGCTTCGTACAGTAGACCAATACTTGTAAAATTTCACAACGCTGCATTTTTTTTCGTTAGATCAAGTTATTGATATATGAAAACACACATGGTCACTGGTTTTCGTGTCATTTTAATTGATCAGGTTTTAAAACGTTTGAAGGGCAAGTTTACCTAGTGAAAACAGTACAAGGTTTTGAGTGGAGTGCCAATTTATTTTATTATATAATGAACAGATTATACTATGTTTTGTTAATTAGTTAATTATAGAACCCATACCTATTCTGTATCCAGTAGTTGGCAGTCTTATTACATGAACCATATGTATGTTGCTATTCTTGCATGATGAATGAAATAACTTGTGTAGATTCACTATATCTCAGAGCTATACTGTAGTTCTCAATCTGTCATCCAAAAAGTAGGGTACCTGTCTAGTTATTATGGATGAAAATATGGTATAAGTTTGCATTTCTCAGGTCTAAGCCAGGTTTAAGGTTTATGTTTCATTTTTTGCTATGCCTTTTAGGATTCCACTAGTACAAAACGAACTTTTTGAGGGTAAAAGTCTATATCTTGTACATTGCGTCCGTGGTAGTGATAGAGTATAGAATAGGTTGAAGGTTCTTTTATTTTGAACAGTTAGTGCACAATATACTAGATGTCCTTAGCTCCAACAGTCAAAAGCTGGTCATTCTGAGATGAGAATATAGATGGGAGACACTGAGTTAAGTGCTGTTCACGGGTAACAGCGGCTATCGAGGGCGACACAGGGATGCACATGCGCTGTGTGAGAGTAAAATTAAAAGCTCCATGTGCTTTAATATTGACATTTTGTTCTTCAGCCACACTGGTCTCCACTGGTCTACACTTTGATCCGTTTCATGGTTCCTATAGTCGGAAAGAGGAAGCCTATTAGGCTTGTCGAGGTCCCCCAGGTTCCAAACCCATAATAGTTACCTAACTCCCAGGTACCTATTTACTGCTAGGTGAAAGGAAACGTGCCCAACCTTCTCTGTCACGCCCGGGGATCGAACTTGGAATTCCCAGTCGTGAGCTGAAGACGTAGATCACTGTGCTATAGCTAATATATGGGGGGCTTATAATTTTGCAATATCTCCTCAGTTAATACTCGCAGTAGGCTGCCAAACAACGAAGTCACGAATTACATGGAACAAATTTTGACACCAGGAAATTGAGGAAGTTATGTATCCTACAATCTCTCAGCAAATGTATTAATGTCTTTTTCAAGACATTAATACAAGAACTAGGTAGCCATAAGCTTTTAGAATGGGAAAGGTCCTAGTTATGGGTGATTTCAAGCACCCAAAAATTGAATGAGAAACTGGAAATCTTAGTGGAAACGAAGAGGCACCTATAAATTGTCATCCACACTTCCGTGGAAATAAACATTCCATTCACCTGGGCTGTATGGGTCTCGAACCCTGAACCCCACGTGAGACCGTAGCACTATCGGCACCTTGAGGCACCCAGATTTATAGGATGTGATTCGTCTTCAAGGTTAGATCTCATCTTTACTCATGAGGCACATGTAGAAAGGACAGACCAGCAAGCACCAGTAGGTGCCAGTGACCGTTGTGGGTTAACATCTGAGGTTATAGTAGAGATGAAAGACAAGATGGAAGAGCAGATCAGGAAGAACAAGAATTCATGAAACAAATGTTTATATGCTGAAGGGAGGATTCTCCAACGATAGGATTGAGTCTCAAGGGAGGAAAACAGTGCATTGCCTATTGAAGTATGGAAAGAAGTTAAAGTCATAAGTAGGAAAGAATGGAAAAAAAGTAACTGATAAATAAGATTTAAGAATAAAGTGGAACAAAAACAGAGTACACATAAGAAGAGGAGCAGAGAAATAGGAGAACATAAGAATTAAGGAAACTGCAGAAGGCCTATTGACCCATACGAGAAATATATATATATCGATGAATTTAGAAGCTATGTTTATCCTACGCTTGAAACAACCAAGTGATCCCAAATCTATTATGTCACCTTGTAATCTGTTCTTCAAATCAACCGCCGGGTTTCCGAAACCAGTATTTTCTCCGGTCATTTTTAAATCTAAACTTATCCAATTTATATTCATTGTTTCGTGTTTTATTTTGTGTTGATGTATTTAATTAAGATCTTGAGAAAAATCTACGGAGCAGGACGGTGGGATTGAACTAGCGTTCTGGATAATTCCAGACGCACGCCTCACCCGTGGACCATGATGTGATAAAAGGACCCATCAGGAACCTGGAGGAACCGATTTGGTAACCAATCCAAAGATTTTGTCATTTATCACGTTATTGTGATTTTATTGTGTATCCTCTTTGTTATACCCTTTCATCCACTTGTACACTTTAATCATGTCACCCCTAACTTTTCACTGATCTACAGAATGTAAATTAAATTTCTCAATCTGTCTTGATATGAAAGATCACTTAACTCTTTAGATTACCTTTGCCATCCTTCGCTGAATGCGTTCTAGGGAATTCGTGTACATTTTAAAGTATGGCGACCAAAATTGAACTGCATACTTTAAATTTGTCCTAACAGCAGGAACATACAGCTGAAGAATAGCCTTGTTTCATTGTTAACGTTGCTAGAAGTAAATCCTAGTATCCTACTTGCTTCATTCCGAACATTTAGGCATTGATATTTTGGCTTTAAATTTCTTTTTCGTATTCAGACTTTTTAATACTATCCAGCTGATAGCTGGTAACTATCTGCATTACCTAGCCTCAGGACCTGAGGCTAGGTAATGGTAATTGCTGACAATTTTCAGAAATAAACTAAATAAACTACATTGCCCAAAGTTAAGGTATGACCAACCAAGAGTGCTACACATCACATAAGATGGCAAAGTACCACAATACACCACTAAATGGTTAAGGCTTACCAAGAGAAGTGGATAGTTAACGCTAAATGATGAGAAATATGAGAAGATTTAAATGACAGATTCCAAGATGTCTTCATCGTATGAACACCATCTCAGATACAACGCATCATGATAACAGACAGCAACCAAATTAGCATGTAACAAAACTGAAATTGAACTAGATCTAGGTACCCTCATCTTCGTTGTTCAAAACTATATTGCTCCAAACATTCAAGTCTAATTGGAGTGAAATCAGACGCTCATCTCAAAGGGCTAAAATCACAAGTTTAAAAATCTATTTGTTTAGATCTGATTATATACGGGGAGCACAAACATCCACTTGGCAGTGCGACATAGCAATTACCAGAACCAGGTTGGATTACAGTTACCTCGGACAGGTGGCTGCAAGCGACTAACTTCCTAATCCTGAGTCCTCCACGTGTAAACTGTGAGTAGAAACTGGGTCATGATCCCACACTACATTATTGTATGTCCAGTCATTAGACCTTGAGACCTACTAGTACGAGGCACCTTGACCTTTGCAATTACTTTAATCACGGCATCATTCTTTACAGAATACAACAGCAGATTTACAGGCTTCTTTAAGGCTAAGGCCAACGAATGATCTCCTAGGATACAACCCACAACAGTTCCTTAACTCCTGGGCACTTATTTTACTGCTTGGCGAACAGAGGCATTAGGTGTAAGGAAGTATGCCCAAACGTGTCGTGTGCAGGAATCGAGTCACAAACAGACTTGTTTATTACACACTGTTCACGAGTTTTATAAAAGAGTATAATCAGAACTTTCTGGAGACTCCCTTAAAGATCTTAAGATTTTCATGAGGTGGGTCGACCAGGAATATGTTGAGGTTTTCACTCTGCTTGAGTGACAACACGTGTAGGGAGACGACAGTCAGGGGAACAAGGGACGAGCCACGCGTGCCATGGTTGAGAGGAAGACCAGGAGGGGGCTAGAGGCTACTCCCTATATTATGCCACATTACCGTGCAGTAGTCCAAAAGGGTGTTTTACGGGCTTTACTAGAGTCTAGATCTTGAAAAAAATATGTACCCCATGTCATCTCTTTTTAAAGACACCTAACCCAACCCAGCCTAACCCAACAAAACTTAACCCAGCCTAATCTAATTAACGGAAGAGATAAATGCTATTTTTTTTCATACGTGGTGTGAAGAAGTTG